TCCCATCGACGGAAGTAGCCTCTCTCTATCTGTCTGCGTGCATGGCAGGTAAACTCTCTCTCTCTCTCTCTCTCTCTCTCTCTCTCTCTCTCTCTCTCTCTCTCTGATGTTTGTGTACACCACATGGGACGCGGGACCCAGTTTGCCACGTGTCACACGTCTCTTGCCACGTGCCGAATCCAGAGGCGAAGATGTTAAACAAGTCTCTTGCCACGTGCCACGTGCCAAATCCAGAGGCGAGGATGTTAAACACGTCTCTTGCCACGTGCCGAATCCAGAGGCGAGGATGTTAGATTTTTTGCCACGTGTGAAATTTCAAGGGAATATTTTTATGAAACTCTTGCCACATGTCAAATCCGAAGTCGATTTTTTGAGATGTTTTGCCATGTGTTATCCCTTCCTCTTGCCACGTGAAATCCAACTCATCTTGCCACGTGTCACACGTCTTTTGCCACGTGTCGAATCCAGAGTCGATGATGTGAGATCTTTCGCCACGTGTGAGATGTCAAGCGAATATTATGACAGCTCTTGCCACTTGTCAAATCCTAAGATTATGAGATTTTTGCCACATGTCATCGCCTCTCTTGCCACGTGGTATGGGAACTCTTGCCACGTGCCACACCCGACAAATCTCTTGCCACGTGTCAAATCCACAGTCGATGATGTGATAGCTTTGGCCACCTGTGAAATTTCAGACGTGGCAAATCTTAACTCGACCTAATAAGTTGTTTTGCCACGTGTCAAATCCAAATCCAATGGATATCACAACTCTTGCCACGTGTCAAATCCAAGGCGAGTGATACGAGATCTCTGCCACGAGTGATACTGCACATTCGTTTGGTCTTCCCACTTGGCAAATGATGTTATTTGTCTCTACTATTATTGGCCACGTGTTAACGCAAATGATGTGGAGCCAATAATGCTTGTTCGACACTCATCTTCACCCCTTTCACTTATCAGTTTTTTCTCGTTTTTTCACTTCGTCAGTATTTTTTATTTGTTTTCACCATGTTAGTTTCCCTTTCCTCTTCCTTGCCATTAGTGTCACCCTTTCCTCTCTACACACACACACACACACACACTCGTACACTGACACACACACACACATAATACACACACCTCTCATCCTCCTCTTCGTTCTTCTTTAACTCCTTCCCGCTCCTCGCCCTCCTCTTTGTTGTCCTGCTTCGTTCCCTCATTTTCGTTCTCCTCGATGGCCTTCCTCCTGTTCCTTTTCCTCTTCCTCCTCCTCCTGCTCCTGCTCCGCTGCCATCCTCTGCTGACACCTCCCCTCCGCCCTGCTCTCCTCGGCCACTGCACCTCCTTTCCATTGTGCTCCTCCTCCCCCTCCTCTTCGTTCTCTCCCGCTCGTCCCGCTGCTCCCGCTCCTCTTTGCGCTCGTCCTCCGCCAAACAAAGTGACAAAGATCCCGCCATAGCCATCGCCTACGAAAAAAACAAAAAAAAAACGGCGCGCCACATGGCTAGCCGCGTGCGCGAGAGAGAGAGAGAGAGGGAGAGAGAGAGAGCAACGCACCTGAGGCCAGGCGCGGGGTTGGAGACTTACCTGTTCGCCGGTGCCTATCTCTCTCTCTCTCTCTCTCTCTCTCTCTCTCTCTCTCTCTCTCTCTCTCTC